GGGGGGGGGGGGGGGGGGGTTTAAAAATCAGAATGGCAGGTTGCTTCAGCCCTGTGCTTTGTTCGGAAGCGTGCTACCTATTGACTTTCCGAAGGACAAAGCTTCAGCTGAGATAATTGAGAGGGAGTGACAGGGCAGTAAATTGTATCTTCTGACAAGCTAAGCCCACCATGGCAGCCATTTTATGGATGCCCAACCTCACTTGTAATAGCCCTTTTATCAGAGCAGCCACAACCCACTCACAAAATTTATAAAGCACCCACCAGTTCAAAAAAGTCACATGTTCCCTCAGAACTTCCCAAAATGACATGTTTATTTTATGCTTTCACTTGTTCCTCTTTTTTCCTATAGGTACAGCCCTATTACCTGTGGTGGCCTTTCCTTTCGAGGATTTTTTCATAGATAAGCACTATGTCCTTCACACTTTGGCTAAAAGGGAGCAGAAAGCCCTCTTCTACACTGCATTGTTGGCCACCTGCCTTGGCTCCGGAGGAATAAGAGCCATCGTGTGCCCTTTAAGTGTTTATAATCCTGATGAACATAAATCGAAGGCACTTCTGTCATTTTTCTACTGGTCAGTGTCATGTACAGGTGCTGTAAATGGTCAACTGTGAGAGGGGTATCATTTTGGGAAATCTGAAAATGGTTGTTTGTTGCAAGGTATGGAATTTCACTCATGTGGTTAATTATTGAAGGGGACAAACAGTAGGGTCCAATGATTGCTGATGACCCAATTTATCACAGAATCCTAGGATTGGAAAGTCCCTCAAAGGTCATTTAGTCCAAACTCTTCTTGATGCAGGATCCTTTAAAGGCATTTCAGATGAATCTCCAGTGAAGGGGGACATATCACTTCATAAGGCAACCTTTTCCACTGGTTGACAGGTCTTTCTGTCAGAAAATTCATTACCTATAAAGCTTTACATAGCATAGGGTCTGGCTACTTGAAGGACTGCCTGTATCCTATAGTATCTACCCAGTTTACCTGATCTGGCACGGTCAGCGTGCTCCAGGTTCCTTGAATTAAACAAAGCCATCTGTCAGGACCCCAGAAGTGGACCTTCTCTGCCACAGCACCTGCCCTCTGGAATAAAATTCCCTCTGAGATCCAAACAGCCCCCACCCTACTGTCAAACACCCTACTGGTGTTTCAAAGGGCCTTGGAGACTTGGTTCTTCACCCAGGCCTTTGGCGAGGGTGACTGAAGACCACTTTTGATTGTGTAGGTTGTTTTCCTTGTTCCCATCTGGTTTTATCACCCTTGCCATCTTTACTCTTCATTTTTGACTCATTATTTTTCTTGTTTTTAACACTTTAAACAATGTGTACGGTACATGGCTCATTTGTTGCTGGGAGTCAGGCAGCATATAAATGTAAGCAATTATTATTATCAGTTCCTTTCATCAATCTTTACAAGACTTGATTTCCAGTCCCTCACCATCACGTAGGCCTCCTCTGAACTCGTTTTTTGAGATGCTTTTTAGACTATGGTGCCCAGAACTGGACACCGAATTCCAAGTGGGGCCTGATCAGAGAAATCCTGTGATCTGGATTCTATGCTTCTGTTAATAGATCCCAAAATAGCATCTGTCTTTTTAGCAATTACATCACACTCTTGGCTCATGTTGAACTTGTTATCTACTAGGACACCCAGATTCTTTTCATATGTACTACTGCTTGGCTAAGTCTCCCCCATGATCTTACCACAATTTTAAATGCAAAATTAAGACTCAAACACTGAGGATATCTGTTGCCTTCATATGTTGTTTTACTTCTTTGTTTGTTTGTTTAAAAACAAACGTGTCACAAGTGCAATAAACAGGAAAGGTACAGAAAACTCAATGGTTAGCAAAGCGCACTCATATATTTAATATGGGGGAGGGTGGTGGTTAGATATGTTCAGCTGTGACTATAACCTTAACAGAGCAATTCAGGTTAATTGAAGAATATTTAATTATAAAGTTCTAAAGCATTTTATTGCAAGTTAAAGCATTTAAAGGAAGTTTCTCTAGATAGTGTCTGGTCCTTCTCTGCAGAAACATCCAGTAAGACTCGTTGAAAACAATGTTTACAAGAGAGAGTTGAGCTATAAAATCACATCTACTATATTCCTAGCAAAGGTAGGTGACTACTTTTGGAAATGTAGGACTTATTGAAAAGAGAATAGCAAAGGCAAGGCTTGTTGGGAAAGGAAGGTTAAGAGTGGCCTAAAAGCAGAACTGGGAACATCTTCCAAGGGAGATGAAAATAAATGTTGGACACACACTTCAGGAAAGTTTGCAGTGATTGGGTCCATGGACGTTAATTAGCTTCGGGACCAAGGAGAAGAAATAGGAGTTCATATAAACATATACCTAACCTTGTTTTCTGGCTTGGGTATGATGGAGGCAGCTCAGCTTTTTCTAAAGGAAGAGAGTTGCTCAGCTGAGCAAGAAGCCTGAAGATCCTTCCTAGATGGGAAGAAGCTTTCTTCTCTTCAAAGGTCTGGAATTAATGAGGATCTTTTTATCCTTTCATTAGGAGTCTTGTTAACAAAGCCAAGTTCTCACTTCAGGATAGCCACTCAGGTTATTGTTGAGGTGTAAATCAAAAACTGCTTTTCTTTCTCTTTCTTGGGCAATCATAAGGAGGCTTTTTTAAGCATGCAAATGGGATGCAACTTGATAAATTTTCATCAGGGAGAGACAGGAGTATTGCAATTGAGCTTTATTGAGGTGACCAGATGTGATGCCATCAGCAGAATTGGAAAAGCAACTTCGGCATCAGAAAAAATAGGCATTGTAAAACTGATAGCCTATTCTTCTTTTTGGATTAAATAGGAAGGTAAAAGTCACTATTGATATTATTTGGCAGCTGCTTCTGTAGATCTTGCCCTTAAGCAATGTCTGCAATTCCACATGTGTTAACATGGAGGAGAGGAAGTATTAAAAGAAGACAATTGAGCCCACTGTAGGTGCTTGTAAAAGCTCATGGCTGCCTCTCCTGCTTGAGATGTGTGTCTTATATGAGTTTCAGAAATGGAGGGGCGTCGCAAAGGGAAGTCCTCCATTCAGCTACCGATTATCCCGTAATAAAATTCAGGAAAGCATCTCAACAACGTGGTTATGTGATAGCAGAAAAAAAGGATCATTTGATAGTAGTTTCAGATGTGACCTAGTCTCATCGCTGGGCTCCTTACCTTGACATTTCCATTGTGACTGTGGAAGAGGAGCACAGAAAGTTAGAAAATGTGCTTTAAGGAAGCTGAATACATTTTATTATTGAGAATTAAAGCATCCGTGAAAATGTGCTACTTTTTGTTTCCTTAGAGGATTGTTTTTCTCAGTTTAGCTTCTTTATTCTCTTCCACCAGCCCTCCCAATTACTTTGACATCTCTCCTTTTGGAATAAATCTGTTCCTAAATATTGCAGCTTTACCGAAGGGAAAAATATTGTTTGGTTCTTCACAGCAAATTCTTCCTCCTTGACCTACCCAAAAGAGAGAGCGAGAAAGAAAAATCTTCCTTTTTAAAAATTCAATTCTGGGTTTTAATCCTTAATTAGCAACATCATTTTGATTAAATAAGACTCCAGAGAATTAAGGCTGAAGACCCATCCAAATGGTCGCTCAGGAGAATTTATTGTACTGCAGTCCTAGTAATTCAGGAGAAGGTGGGTTTTTTAATCAAAGTGACATTTCCTAGTGTTGATTACAAAAGAGAAGATTAATTTATATAAAATAGATCCTTGAGGTAATCTGAGCAGGGCGTAGGAGTTTAAGGTAGTTGAAGAAAGCCAGGTGAGAAAATGAATTTCTGTATCAAAAAAAAGGAGGGGGGAAGAAAGAAACACACATTGTAGTATTTTTGATGATGATGATGATGATGATGATGATGATGATGATGATGATGATGCACCTTCGAGTCAGTGTTGACTGCTGGCAACTGCCCAGACAAGCCCCTGCAGTTTTCTTGGCAAGATTTTCCAAAGTGGCTTGCCCTTGCCTTCTTCTTCTTCCTAGAGCTGAGAGAGAGGGACTGGCCCAAGGTCCCCCAGCTGGCTTCGTGCCTAAGGTGGGACCAGAACTCATGGTCTCTGGGTTGCTAGCCTGGTGGCTTAACCACTACACCACATTGGCTCTCGTAATAATAGAACTAGTAAAACATAGCTTAGTCTTTGGCCCCATCCCTGTAAGCTTGTTGTCTGAAGTAATGTTTCCTTGACTCCATAGTTGCTGATTTGCATCTCTTAGACTGGTATTCAAAAAAGGCAGTCAACCAGCATCTCCCCTGTGGCTCCCAGAACCCCGGTCTATTTTGGGTGGCCCTCCCAATGGAAGTCTCTTTTGCATTTTGGAGGGTATTTCAGATGCTTCCATTACATTTAGCCTTAATGTTCCTGAACCACCCTCTCCAAATACCCTCATCCTGACCTTCTCCTTCCATTGTTCCCCTGCAACTAATATATGGAGGCATATTGCCCCAAACGTGGAGATAGAATATGGTCTCCAAAACCGTTAGCTCTGCATAGACCTATCCTTCATGAATGTATATGATCCCCTTTTAAAACCGTCCCCATTACTGGCCATAACCATGTCTTGGGTAATGAACTCCACAGATTGATTATATGCTGGGTTAAGAAGTATTTCACCTAAATCTCTTTCCATGCAGCTTCATTGGCCATAAATGATGTAGGTTTATTTAGTGAAGACCACCTCTCCGCAAACCATTTACGGAGCTTTGTCATCCTTCCTCAGGGCTGATTGCAATTGAAAACACGGCACCCAAGGAAAAGGGGGTAGAGGAAAGATGTGAAAGGCAAGCCAGACATGTCTTCTTAAAGGGCTGTTTCTTATGAGGACTAGACGGGAGGAAGAAAGGCGCCTGTCTCTCAAAAGGGACAAACCTCATACCAAGATTTATTGAAATCTGTGTTGCTTGTGTCCAACTATGAAGGCTCTTAAAAAGTGGTTAATCTACAATTAACAGAGAATTCTCAGCAAAGTTCTTTCAAGGCTCCATTCACACTCTTAGAACAATCTACTCCAGTTCCTGGTCCCCTCCAGTTCCCCTTCTTGGGTTCTTTCTGTCTCCTAACACAAACACAGACCCAGTTTGCACATCACATTAAGGCCTGGTTTGTTTAAATATGGTTCAGTGAATGAACCCCAGTTGGGTCAGACTGGGTGATGGACCTCTTGGGTGTGTTTAGGTTCTCTGAACGGATTTTTTTTCCTGGACTTTTTTGTTTTTGTTTTCCTTTTTAGGTTGAATATCCTTTATTCGTATTGCTATACGCTGTGAGCTACCCAGAGGTGTGAGCGATTGGGGGTGGCTATAAATATTGTAAATAAGTAAAGCTATAAATGGTGGCACACAGTGGCTGGCTTCATACAACACATAAAGGGAATACAAAACCCCATCACATATGATAGCTTAGTGCAATCTGTGAATCTAGCAACCGTGTGTTTTATTTTCTCCTCCTCCTTTAACCAGGCACCAGCCCTGGCCTCTTCCCCCTCTTCATTTGCTTTTTGGGGGTGGGGGTGTCTCTAAATGGGAGGGAGGAGGATAGAGCCTATGTTGAATTTGACTT